AGGTTCTCTAGTTATCATGAAAGTAAAAGGTCAGAAAATCTCTACATCTTATAGGAAAAGACAGTTACATATACTACTGCACTTAATACATCATTGTTGTTAGAGACCGACACCACCAAGTTGTGGATATATGAGATTGAGTCATATGAGCAAGAGTGGTAGGATTATACTCAATAAGAGAGAACTTCTTTATGGTCAGAGTACAAGAACGATAGATTTTTGTGAGCACTGACAAGTAAAAGCATGTCAGTTTTAGTACAGCTATGTATAGAAATAAAGTAATTTTGGATTATATCCATTCTGATTCATGGGGTCCCTTGCATGTTTCTTAGAAGGGCAATGCTAGGTACATATTGACATTCATCAATAACCACTCAAGAAAAGATTGAGTTTACATGCTAAAATGCAACAATAAAGTGTCCAAGCATTTTAAACAATTGAAGACATTGCTTAAAAAGCAGACTGATAAAAAAATTAAGAGGCTTAGAATTGATAATGAATTAAAATGTTTTGCTCTATAGAGTTTGATGAATTCTGTAAGGATGAGGGTATAGTTAGACATCAGACTGTGCTACACACACCACAACAAAATGGCATTGCAGAATGAATGAATAGGACTCTTGTTGAGAGAGCTCGTTACATGTTGTTGAATGTTGGTTTGTCAAAAGGCTTTTGGGCTGAATCAATGTCTACGACGTGTTATTTGGTGAATCGCTCTCCATCGACATCCATTGATTGCAAAACATCATAAAAGGTTTGGTCTGGACATGTTGTTGATTATTTTAATATGAAAGTATTTGGTTGTCCTATATATACACATGTAGAACTGGGTAAATTAGGATCTAGATCTAAAAAATGTATTTTTATTGGTTATGCATTTGGGATGAAGGGTTATAGATTGTGGTACCTTGATTCTTAATCAACTAAATTAATAAATGAGAAAATATAATATTCCATGAGTCTTCTATATATGTTGCTTCCGAAAAAAACTGCTATTTCATTCTGATGCAGATACTACATAAGAGTACTAGAGAGCAAGTAGAGTTGGAGATTGATACTTATAATTCAGTTCAACAAGTTGTTTGTTCGCCATGAAATAATTAGGAAACATAAATTACAGTATAATATGACACGTATTTGCAAAAGGTAAGAGAATGATCGATAAAGCAACCTCAGAGACATGCAGATTCAGTCATTGCATATATATTGTCAGCAACCGAATGGATGAATATGTCAAAGAAGCCACTAGTAGTAGCTAAGTTCAAGCTTTGCTTAGACTTGATTCATGTCAAAGAACGTTGAGGCGCCGTATGGGGCATTTGCAGAGTCGTTGGCAGTACATTACTGAGAAAGTTGAGAACTAATTTGGGATGTTGAGTCAAGGTGGAGATTTGTTAAAATTGTGCCTCAAAACCCTCTGATTGTTCAATTCAGCCGATTGATCATCGATGGTCAAGAGGATACCATCGATGGTAAAGAGGATCATTGATGGTTTACAATTAACAATCAAAGAAAAACAAAAAGAGGATTTTGAAACATCGATGGACTATAGGGAACCATCGATGGACTGCAGAATATTATCAATGATCGTGTTTGATCATCAATGGTTATGACGTTGATTTCAGTTTTGATGATTTAATCTCAGTCATTCATTTTTCTTTTGATCTCCAAACTTCTAGCAAGTTTTGGATGCCTCTTTCCTGATCTATTGTGGTCTTCGATATATTATAATAGAGAGAGTTTAGATTAGGGTTGGATGATGAGAATAGGAGAATATGATGAGGAGAGTTTGAGGGTTTAGGCTATTGCCTTGTTCTTATACTTTTTTCTCTTTTGATAGTAGAATTTCTCTGACGCCTCTGCCTTGGATGTAGCCCAAGTTAGATGAATCACATAAATCTCTGTGTTTGTGATTGTCTGTTCTTTATTCTCATGCTTGTTTTTCACAATTATTTTTACTTTATTGTGCACTTGTTCTAACATAAATTTTATCCAATGGAAAACTCCAAATAACTAGAAATTAATATGAGTAACTATCGACATGTATCAACAGGGTTCTTTTGTAATGTATCCTTGCAAAAGTGAAAAAGGTAATCCAACTAAATAATTTAACGAGGCCTGATGAATATTTTTTTTTTGAGAAAAAGGATGGATTACCACAAAGGTAATCCAGCCAGCTAAATTAACAAAAATGGTTGTTACATAAAATACTCACCCCCAACCAAGAGTGAGTATTACAGTCCATATCAGCAACTACATACAAAGAAGAAAAACACCACCCCTCTGTACATACTCAAAAGAGGGAAGATCAAAAAAGATCTAACAAAAAACCAAAAGAAGAGCAGTTCACAATGTAACTGAGTTTTTAGTTGTAGAAAACAAAAAACATCACAGCTGCACCTTTTGTATCTCATCACTCTAGCTGAATCACCACACTCTCCACATTTCTATCTTCATTTCTGGCCATTCCAGCAGCTTGGAGGCTAACAACATTCCTCTTTTTCCGCCTCTCCTTCAGTCTAGCAGCTCGAGCAGAGACTCTTTCAGCACCTAGCCAAAAAGTTGCGAAGGTCATAATTTTGTTCAAGAGCTCAAGGGACTTCTTCTTTTTATCTGAAAAAATTCTATCGTTACGTTCTTGCCAAATGCACCAGACCAAAGAGCAAATGATCACATCCCTTTTCATTTTACTATTCGCAATATCTCCGGTCTTCCAATTAAGCCAAATATCTTTCAAAGAGTCTAAACTAAAAGTATTCTCAGTCTCCAATTTGAATTGAATCGATCTCCATATTGAGTAAACAAACTCACATTTGATGAAAAGATGCGTATGATTCTCCTCCAATTTAGAACATAAACAACAATTTGGAACTACTTTTGGGTTTTTGGAAAGAATTTTATTTATGTTTTCGTATTTGTCAATCATGATGTGGGTAGTGTCATCTTCTCATTTTGAATATATTCTGCTGAAAGTTGCAAGACGTAATTTGACGGCATGATTAAGTTTACATGATTTAAGTAACTACCTCTAAATAGATGGTTTTAAAAAAAAAAATCAAAGTTTACATGATTATTTATTGAAAAATTTAATCTTGATTACAAATGATAAAGAGCATGAAATTGGTTAGAAAAATTGCTACAGGCCTTTAAGAAAGGTTTCATTAGCTTTGGCAAATGAGAGCTTGAAAGGGGGAGGGGAGCTTATAGCTTATAGTCCTTCGCATAGCGCTGAGGAATTTGAGAGGATCTTAATATGAAATATGTTTACCTCTTCAAAATTTAATGAATTATATTGGGTCCTCTGGTTTGTCATGTATTTCAGGTTATTCTACGTATTATGAGGTCAAGCGTCTAGAGTTTGACACCAGAAAATGTCACATTTATGAGTTTAACTTTGTTATTTACTGACATACTTTCTTAGCCTCTTTCACAACATTTTATTTGATGCCATTTGTATTGTTTGTTAAAATCATATTATTACATGTTAAGAATGCAATAATTTTGCAATATTAAATGCCGTGTATCGCACAGGTAAAAACTAGTTTAATTAGATTTAGAATTGATACAAAAGTACAATCGGAAATAATTATAAAAAATTATCTCACTTTTCATCCATCCTATATAAAAAAAATTCGGTTCTAGTTTATGAATTTATCCCACTTTTCATATAGTAAAGCTAAACTAAAAGAAATTTATTTTCTTGTATATTACGAAGCTATGTAAATACATATGCTTAAATTTTTTAAAGTAAATAGTAATATTTGATTTGAATCTGAACTCCACAAGTTTCATATGTCATGAACTATTGAACTAGTCTTAAATGTGATTGCATATAACCATGCTTTTTTAATTTTCCGTACTTGACAATGCACTTCTTGCATCCTCATACTCCTTAAGACTTGAAGTGTCATTTGTTTTTACTTTTCGCAAATAAGAAATAGATAAACTATGGTATTATATCATCAAAATACATAAATTATAACATTTTGATTATATCAATTTATCGCACGTTATTTTACCAACTTTATCCCGCTTTAAAAAAAGCATCCTTCATTGACCTACTAAAATATCCCAATTTCATACAATTATCTCACTTCAATAATTATACTAAGGGAGTGTTTGGTTCAATTTCTACAAATTATAGGAAATGTTTTCCACCCAAAATATGATTTTCTTGTATTTCTTTAAAAAATTATAGGAAAAGTTTTGAGAAGTCAAAAAATACAAATTTTCTTATTTTTTTTACTTCGCTTGTTTGGTTCAAAACAAGAAAATAACTCATAACTTTATAGAAAACAACAAGATTTCCTATAATTTGTAGAAATTCAACCAAACACCCCCCCTAAATTTATAAAAAAATGTCAATGTGGTGTTAGATTTCTAGGTGATTTCCGCCCATTTTAAGAGGAAATTAATTTTTATAAATTTTGATATTTTTTTGTACTTTACAGAAAATATTTCTATAAATTTTTTTTGAACCAAACACAGTTTACGAAAATCTATAAAAAAATTTTAATTAAAGAATTGTTATTGTCAGATATTTTGAGAAAATTTTATAAAATTATCCAACCAAACACCCCCTAATTCTACTTGAAAAGTCCAATTAACTTGCACCTCCAGAGAGGGCTCACAAGAGAAAATTATATGGGAAGGAAAAGTATTTTCAATCACCCACAGCGTGTCAGTACAATCAGGAAAAGTATTTTCAATCACCACACAATATTAGTACAATCGGAATATTAACAGTACAATCACCAATATTAGTACAATCAGAATATTGACAGTACAATCACCAACTTTATAGTGAGATATGTATCAAATTCCGCTATCTAAATGAAATTATTTACTGAATTCTTCAATCCGAGGTATTTTGCCAATATATAGAATCCTAAAAACATTCTTGATAAAGGATTTAATCAACACTTTCCAACCAAATTGTCAGCTAGAAAACAATATTAAAAACAGTTGTCCGACTAAAACCAGGTAGGGAGCAGATTGCATTCACGCTACAAACGGCCAGCTGTTGCCATGCTTTCATAATTACTTCAAAGAAAAGACGGTGTATATATTGATCGATTAAATATACATTTGATATCGACACTGGCAAAAAGATTATAATATGTAAGGAATTCGAATAGTAAAAGAGCTTTCTACCTACTTACAGACCAGTATTAATTTTGTTAATAAGCTTGTTTCGAGTTAGATGAAGAAAATCATAAAAGCCAATAACATAATGATCAGCTGCTGAAGCTTCACCTCTCTTCCACCGTGACCTGCGAAAGATGAAACTAGTTATGTCAGTGAGGATCATATATGATCGCTAATAACAATTTAATCAGGTATCAAATTTGAGGATGAGAGTAATATATCACAACCTTAATCTTGTTTTCTCAAGATGAAGGTAATACATCCCAAACACATACTATTATTAAGTTTGTTCAATATTTGTTGTCAAATTATAACCCTCAACTTAATATCAAAGTGAATCATCAAATTAATTTCAGTACTTTCAAAGAGCAAATTAATTAATAACATCGAATAAAACCAGAGATCAAACCTCTCCATTATTTTTTCCCCTATACTTATTTTCTGTAACAAAGAGTAGTAATGTTCTCGAGTCTTTTTTTCCCCCTTATTTTTAATGGAAATAAAACATAGTCTAGTGCTGGAATAAGTAATCACATTAACTTATAAAAAAAACATTATAAAGAAGCAAATTGGAGACCTTACCAATCTGCGCAGATGTTGCAGCTGGAAGGGCAGGCATCTTAACAGCTGCAGCAATTAAAAGATATGTTATGCACATAACTAAAGAACTAGGGGGAAATGATGTAGAAAACAAGATAATAAAATTTGACTTTAGCAGATAGTTCCATAATTACGGAAACGGAAAACTTAAGAAATTTAGAACTCAAGAGTGGTTAGACTTTACGTATAGCAACAAATGCCAACCAGAGGTTTTAACAGATAAAACGGAAAGATACTTCTTCATGCGTAAATCTTAGGCTTCTCTGCAATCTGTTCTTCTTTTACCAGTAAATAAAGAAGTTGAGCTAAATAAGGGTCAGCTCTGCAGTCTTTGACATCCTATGGGAATTTAGTATTAGCAATTATTATTGTGGCATAACATTACAAAGAGATGTAAAACAAGTTCTCTTTGCCAGATGGTATAACTCGAGGGGTTATATGACAAGGAAGTTTTGAGTTTGGAGTCCATAACAGCTGTTAGATCTCCGAAGAGCCCTTGTCAGGAACCAGTAAAGCCCCTTCTCTTTGACGCTAAATAACACTACAATAAAGATAACAGCAAGAAAAAGCAAAAGGCCATTTTAAATAACCTTGAATCACTAAATACACTATTTCGAAAAGAAGACTCTATTTTACCGTTGTATTTAGTGACACTAATGTGAAACAAGAATAAGGATCATGACTGAATGGAAATTTAGTGTGGCAGCAGGAAAATTCATGGTGGGAATTGCTAATATCTTATAATTGAAAATTACAGTTTCTTTCTAATCCGCTCCAGCAATTTGAGTACTTCACGCCTGATAACATTCAAGTCTATCAGAGGATAAGTCATGTGTACAGCCTACTGGAAGCATACTTTCAATAATAATAATAATAATAATAATAATAATAATAATAATAATAAACAAAGAATAATAATAATAATAAACAAAGGTCTACTAATGAATGCAAAATCAAGCCGTAAAGAATAAGGAATCCAGATCTCACAGATGTCCTTTTTATGATATATTTGATTTTCTAAATTAGTCCATGATGTGCACACTCGGGACATCAGCTGTTTGATTCGACTACTAAGTGATCAGGTTAATGTACACACAGATTGATTCATTTGCTTCGTTTGCTTAGGCATCTTTTCCCAGGGATAAAACATCTGTGACATTTTTTTTAAAAGACTGAAATCAGAATGGACAGATCTAGAAGCGTGCACAGTCCACATAAACAAGGGACATACTCTTATTACAGGAAGATGATGGCACCAGAGACGCAGAGGGCCAAGGTGCTGCAATATTATCATTTAGATCACAAGTGAAGCTAATCCCTGTGGAAGGATCAAAAGTTGCATCCGAAGGCAAACTTGGCAGCAGACATCCAGACTCTGAAACATATAGTAAATTTTGAGTTAACATCAAAATTATAAAAGCAAGCTAAAGAATAACATAAGAGTCTTTTCATGACTTATGTTAAGTGACAAAGGAGACATATGCATCACCTTGAGATCCAACTGGATTTCCAATAAAGCAAACAGCCCAGCACAAGGAAAACAACAAAAACATGTATTAGCATGTCAGTTATAAAGATACTTGGCGCTACTGTGATGGAAAAAGACTTTCACGACTAACCTTGGAGTGAGAAGTCCTTGAGAGTTATATGACAGAAGTTAAAAATGTCAGTGGTAACATTCATCTTTTGTAACTTAAGACCAAGTTGTGTGGCACAATCTAATGCTTGTAGATTGGTTATGAAACTTTGCTTTTGTAAATGAGACACATAGTTGCTCATAGAATTGCAACATGCCATGTGGTTCCTGGTAACACTCCCACACTCTTCTGCAACAACTTTCGTATCTGGAAAGACCAATGGACAAACTGCAGTATAGAAAATAGAGTTAGTGATTCCATCGTCATAAGTTAACAGGAAGTTTATGCTTTATCTAAAACAAATCTCAAAATGTTCCGACATACAGTGGAAAACAGTAAATCAAAATGTTTAGGTAGAAACTATAGATGCTAGGCAGTGATATCAAAGAATATAATAAGCAAAATCAGGTGCTTTTATACACGATTAAGAACAATAAATAATAATGGATCAAGTAAGCAATACAATTAAAAAAATTTAAATTACATGAACAAAAACAGTAGGCTCAGGAAATTGCAGCAAATAGGTGACATATCAAGGGGTGCAACACATCCGTGCTATAGATTGGCAGCAAAAATATTATTTGAGAAAGATGGTGAACTCTGATCCTGATAAACAAGATGACACGATACAAATCGATAAGCAATACAAGAATACATCAGTATTTATTAGATCTAAACATATATTTGACAATTATGTTAAGCGTTAAGACTAAATCACTTTTAGTGCAACAAAGAATGGCATAGAAGATAGAGATGTTATTAAGAATACAAAAGGCTGACTCAAAATAGTTGAATACAAGAGTCCAAATGAATTAGCTGGTGTAAAAAAAAGAACATGCATTTACAGTTTTCTTTAAAAATTACAACGCCTACCGTCCCAAAATAATGTGATCGACTACATGCTAAGCTTCTCACATAGAACTACCTAATATCCCTCAGAAAAACAATTCCAAAACTTTCACACACAACAAAATGCCAAGCTTTCTCACAAAGAACCACCTAATCATACTAGAGAACAGATATAGTGCAAGTCAGAAACCAGTAAAACAGTATGCAGAACACGAACGAAAAAGATGAATTCGAGCAGTATGCACTTTTAGCTAAAACGAGGGGTCTATTAAAGTTACCTTCATTCACTTTGCAGTTAGATATCCGTCTAAGTACTTGATTCGCAGATAGAGGATCAATCCTACTCGAGAGCCATCTGAGGACAACATTTCTACAGTCGTCCATCATAGATGAGTGCTCAGATAGGCTACTTGGTAAGCCACCATCTCTCAATGAAATCTTTGTAGCAGCTTCAAGTATTGCATTTTGACAAATCTGGCTGCAACATTCATTAACTGCATCAACTTTCTTGCACGCAGCTAGGAGTTGAGAAGAGTCAACAATACTCTCAAACTCATTGGTGTCTTTCACAGGACAGGATCCTTCGCTGAGATTTGATGGACGGATCAAACATATTTTCTGAAGGTTGTAATTGGCACCCTGGCTTCCTAGAATTTCCTGAACATCTGATAGGCAATAATTAGCATGAGTAGCATCCAGAGCAAGCATCCCAGTTTCTTTGCTTGATTGTCCCACAAGAATGTTTATAGTAGCTCGCAATTGGGGGCAGCATATTACATTGGCCAAGAACGGAGCAACAGATGCCCAGCAATCAACTGCAGTTATCCTCATCAAACTGTCAGTAGCTGACAAGTTTAATATACATTTTCCTACAATAAAGAGTCAGTGGTTAGTGATATTTGTGCAGCTTGTGAGGCTTAAAAATTAATTTCGCAGGAAATATTAAAATCAAACCTGACAGTTCTGGTGTGCTGTTGTTTTGGAATGGTACTAATGGTGAAGGAGCAAGAAGAGGTATCAATGGCTGAGGGGCACTATTTGGAGATATTTCTGACAAAAGTGTATTGTCCGTTTCTTTCGTTACAATGGAGTCCCTTTGATGCACCACTGGGGAGCCATACACAGCAAATTTGTCCAATGTACAAAGGTCTTGTAAAGCTGAAAGAAACGCAATACGATTCATTACGTCTTATGAATAATTAGAATCAACAGCAATAAAAACTTTACGCCTTCATGACATGTAAAAAACTACAACAAATGAACTGCTCTTGTAAGAAGATAACAAACTCCATGAATAATAGAATCATAACATGTCAAAGTTCTTATACCAAGAGAGTATGGGGGAAAAAGTTCAATTGCCAACAATATCCTGCTCTTGGCACATTATCTGTCTTTTCCCAAGGATGCCAAAAGTTTATTTGTAATTTGTAATTGAAATTGACTGTTTTCCAAATTCACCATGCCAAGTGACAATGTGTTTCTCGCAAATTTCTAAAAGTAACTAGATTATAATGCATGTGCTAGTAGTTGAGCACGCATGTGCATAACAAGGACTTAAAATAGCAAAGGAACTACCCAAAGAGAGACATCTGAGTAAATTTTATACTCCTTACCCAATTGAACCTTAAAAAGATTTCACAATCACTAATATTAATTGGACATGTCAAAGGTTACAGAGACTATTGCTACTTGGAACACTTTACCACACTCAATTAATGATAAAAACGCTAAAACCTAGTTTCTTTCAAAAATCCCATTCTTATACAAGAGATGTCAAATCTAGAGGGATAAACAATAATCATAATTATGTGACACCATCTCAAGTCGGCCTTATAAGACACTCAACAACTAATCCCATCAGGAGAAACACTCATCATCACGGGTGGTCATTGAATAATTAACAAACATTCACTCAAACATATACATATATATGTTAATCATAAATGTTGGAGTTGGAGCCAAGTGTTCAAACTAATTCCCACTTATCGGGCTTCATTTCATCTATTGTGGACTAAACCCATCTAGCAACACCACATGCACTCTCATTTGAATGCGAGAGCTGCAACACATTTAACCTTGAGTCCTCAACTGGACGAGTATCAAAACTTGGATCTCCAAATTGAATACACCAAACATACACTAGCAAATTTTTAAGGAACCTAACATTATATGTGCAAAGCTTATAGACAGGAACATTCACTTGAATCCCTGGAAACAGTAACATATATGTGGAATTATTTGCATTTGTATCAAGGAGCAAAGCTCACCCATAGAAGCAGAATCGCTCCATAAATCTAAAAAAGACACTACGAGACACTTCCCCTATATTGCATAGTACCTCACAGAGCTTAGTTGATAATTTTAAAGTAAAAAAGAGAGGAATAGTAACAAAATTCTAACCCTAACATGAAGTAAGTTAGCAAAACGCATAGCACCAAGAATTCATTTTTGAACCAGCTAACGCCAATTCCCAAAGAATCAATCACATGCCAAAAAAATTAACAACAAAATCCCCAATACCCATCTCGCAAAAGGCATCAAACAACACGAAAGCAATCAAATTCCCCACGGAAATAACCAAGATAGCAAAAACCCATCAAGGAAATGAGAGATTACTGACCTGCGAACAGGAGGAAGAAGACGAAAGGGCTCAAATTGGGAGGCAAAAGAGCTATTTCTCCCATCTTGGCCGCTGAGAGATGGTCTCCTTCAGAAGAGGGGAGGGGCCCTGATGGCATTAACTGGGAACATTAAAGCTAGTGGAGACGCAAGTGGTGGAATTGGTGGTGGTGAAATTAATGGGAGCAAATAAGGAAATTGAAGTGTCTTTGAGAGGGGAGAGAGAGAGAGAGGAGAGAGAGAGAGTGGGATGAGAATTAAAATCCAAATGCCATTGAATGCAATGTGTCGCTCTTGGGACAAAAGGCAGCTGAAAGCAGCTGGAAAGATAATGAAAGCGAGCACCTCACTCTCTCGCCCCCCTCCAATCATCGACCCGCAGGAAGCAACAAAACTGCACTCAAATGCCCTGTAGTTTCAACAAACTCACCTTTACGGTTTTGTTTTTCTTCACGTCTCCAAAAATATTACATAAGAGAATACTACATAACGGAGGGGGCTGAAGTGTAACGTTTAGAAAGAACAATTTTTCAAAACAGTCCAATTTTATTTTTTTTAAATCGACCCTTTTTTTTATTTATCAAAACCGACCCGATTTTTTGATTAGCAGTCTAATCACCATCCTAAACAGTCGGGGTTGCCAACCCCGACTATTTAGGAGGGTGTTAAATCCTAATTAGAAGCCTTAAACCCTAAAAATTAATGTCCTAAATAGTCGGGGTTACCAACCCCGACTATTTAGAAAGGTGATTAAGCTGCTAATAAAAAAATCGGGTCGGTTTTGGTAAATAAAAAAAAGGTCGATTTAAATAAAAAAAATTAAAATGGGGCTGAAGTGAAAATTTGTTCGTTTAGAAACTTTACAGTATGTAAGTGAGACCATTGACAAATTGAGAGTATTTATAAGCAACATTGGGTAAAAAAGAAGGCATCAACATGCGACATCGGGTAAAAAAGAGGGCACCAAATTGTAGCATTTTACAAATTTAAAATATTTATTTACAACATATGAATACTTCATGGCATTTATTTGTTTGATTTTAAAATAAAGATAACTTAAATGCAATATTGGTGAAACTAGAGGGCATTTAAGTGCAATTTAGCTTTTCGGCTTTGGCATTTGATAGCGGGGATGTGATTTTTGACTCTCTTTGGGCTTTTGGGCTAGCAATGGGCTGAAGTTAGGATAGATTTATACCGCCCAGCATCCCCTAATGTTTTGTCTAAAAAGGATTTATTCAGATTAAAAATTCTCATTTAAAAGTTTGTGTTTACTTTGAGATAAGATGGTAAGTTGACATTACGTTCAACTTTGAGTCGACCAAGAAAAGGAAGAAAGGAAGAAAAAGAAGAAAATATTATGATTTAATTTGTAGAAATTGATTTTGCCATATTTTCAAATCTTTAATACTATGTAATGTTTATGGATGAAAATGAGAGGGATAGTAGCTCGTCTATCCTAGGGACGTTAATTTATACAAGTAAAACTGAGAAAAATTGCACCCATTTATATGTTTTATTGCATTTTTTATGACATGCCTCAGAATATACGAGCAATCAATATGTAGAATGTAAGTGCATATTTCGTTCCTGCACTCTTGCGTGTCAAAATGAATACATATCCGTTCTTAACCATTTGCATACAATCTTAACCGTTTCCCCAACTGAATCTATCAATGGTTAAGAACTACATACTTGCGTGTGAATGGTTATGAGAGGAAATGTACTCGGTCAAAATTGTGCTCTAATACAATGTTTATTTATTTATTTATTGTTTTGTTAGTCATATGCTTTCTTGTAGTCTCTCGTGCTAAAATGAAAAACTTATAGATTCTGTATTAATGTTATAAGGGCGCCATTTCACTGTTCTAAGTTTGTGGATTAGTTGTTGGGAATTTACGCCGAAACCCCTAAAAAACAACAGAAACGCGGAATAGAGAAAAGTACACCAAGATTTACGAGGCTCGGCAACTGCCTACGTCCTCGGGAGCCACAAAGTAAATTTCTTATTAATCTAACAAGAAATTACAATTCAAGAGCGAATATCAAACTTGAGATCCCTCAATAAATACAATCTTCACTGTAGCTACAATGAAGATTCCTCTCTCTTAAATAACACCACCCCCTCTTAATCCTCTCTTAAAATCCCTTCTTAAACAAATCCCCCTTCCCTCAAATCCCTTTGAGAGAACGCTGGAGAAAGAAAAGGAGAACAGAGAGATCGCCTAAGGAGAGAGAGAGAGAGAGAGAGAGAGAGAGAGAGAGAGAGAGAGAGAGAGAGAGAGAGAGAGAGAGAGAGAAGAGAGAGAGAGAGAGAGAGAGAGAGCCGTCGTCACTGCTGAAAAACGAGAGGAAGAACACATGCCTTCGGCCCTGGGGTTTTCCTTTTACAGGGAAACCCTAACTGAGCTGTCGACAGGCTGTTGACAGCCTGGATCGCACCCAAAACGAGCGCTCGATCACGCCTGCAAGTCGACAACTCGCCTGCAGCGCTCGCCTACAACTCGCGAGCTCGCCTGCTCAAGTTCCGCCTGATAGAAGCTCGCATGTGAGTCAATCTCGCCTGCAGCCCCCTTTTGAGCGTGTCGCCACGAGCTCGCCAGACCTCGCTCCCCTGGACCGTGTTGCTCGAGAGCTCGCCTGAAGTCGCTGATCTCGAGCTCGCCTCTGATCCGCCTCAAGCTTGCCGGCGTCATCCCCCAAAGCTCACCTGCGGAGGTGAGTTTGGTCTACACCTGATTCTAACAATCTCCCACTTGGAGACCAAACCGCCGTCAGTTGGCTACCTCATCAAGCATCTCCTCTTGTGTGGCTCCGCCCTCATCACCTATACATGAAGGCCAACTGAAGTTGCACACAACTCCAGTTTCTGAAAGGTCGCCGCCTTTGTCAACATATCCACTGGATACTTTCTTCCTTGGATATTCTGTTGAAATCCTTTGATAACTCGTCAGGCTCTATATCTTCTGGAACCATCCTGTTTCTTTTTCACTCGATACACCCACTTGTTGTGACGTGCCTTCTTCCCCATGGGCAACTTAGCTAGTTCTCATGTCTGATTGGAGATCAGATATTTCATCTCTTTTTTCGTAGCAAACTCCCACTTGCTCGCATCTCCACTCTGACAAGCTTCATCAAAGCTTTCAGACTCCCCCAAACTCCCACTTGCTCGCATCTCCACTCTGACAAGCTTCATCAAAGCTTTCAGACTCCCCTCCATTTGTCAGCAACATATAATTCATGTATCTGCTGTTAGGCACAGGAGGACGAGTAGTTCTCCTCAATATCGGAGCTGGTGCGTCTGGCTTCTGCGCACCATTCTGTCCAACAAGCTCTTCTGGCTGAGGACCTTCTGCATTGGGTTCTTCCGAGAGGTTATCTGGGATATCATCTGCATCTACAAATATTGACTCCCTCTCCGAGTCACTAGCATCTATCTTGTGCATGTCCTTATACACCACCTTCTCGTTGAATATCACATCTTTGCTCTTGATCACCTTCTTGTTTTCGTTATCCCAAATGCGGTAGCCTAACTCATCTTCACCATACCCGATGAATGTACATTTCTTATACTTGGGATCAGGCTCATTCCTGCCTTGATCACTAATATGCACATAAGCTATACAACCGAAAACTTTGAGATATGAGAGGGTTACCTCCTTTCCGCACCATATCTTTTCTGGTATTCTGTGCTCCAATGGAACTGATGGCCCTCAGTTGATCAAGTAAGCTGTTGTGTTGACTGCTTTTATCTAGAACTGCTTCGGTAGACCTGACTGTGTCCGAATGCTTCGGACTCTCTCTGTCAACATTTTATTCATGTGCTTAGGCACACCATTGTGCTGAGGCGTGCCGGGCACGGTTCTCTCCATTCTGATACTGTGCTTATAGCAGAACTTCTTGAATATGATGTTTTCATACTCACCATCATTGTCTGTTCTGAGTTTCTTTATTCTCAGACCGGTCTTATTCTCGACTATAGCTTTCCATCTGTTGAGAGCTTTAAACACTTCTGACTTGTGCTTCAGAAAGTAGACTCACATTTTCCGAGAGTGATCACCAATGAAAGTCACGAAGTAGTGTTTCCCATCAATGGACACGGTGGTGGTTGGTCCCTAAACATCCGAGTGAACAAGCTCTAGCTTCTGCTTCCCGGGGGTTCTGCCACTTGTCTGAGAGCTAACTCTCTTCTGCTTTCCAAGCATGCATTATTCACACATATCAATCTCTACTGATTGTAAACCTAAGAGTTTTCTCTCTGTGTGCATAATCTTCATCCCCTTTTCACTCATATGATCGAGTCTCTGGTGCTATAGCTTTGAAGTCTCATTGCATGCTGCAACTGAGATCAAACAACGTGCACCTGCTGTCATATACAGGGTATCAGTCTTCCTGCCTCTGGCAATCATCATTGCGTCTTTTGAAATCCTTCAATCATCACCATGGAAAATCGTTGTGTAGCCTTCACTAGCTAACTGGCTTACTGAGATTAAGTTTCTCTTCAGGTCAGGAATATACCTGACATCCTTCAGCTCCCATACTGACCCATTCAGCTTAATCTTCACTACACCTTTGCCAATAATAGCACATGGTTGGTCATCACCAAGGTATACATTTCTAAGGTTTCCGGGGATATACTTCTCGAGGAATTCTTTCTAAGAAGTAGCATGGAATGATGCTCCAGAGTCCAACACGCAAGACGCCTCCTTGCTCTCCAAAGAGCATATCAATGCATCATCTCCTCCTGAGGTGGAAGCAACATTCACATCTGTCTTTGCCTCCCACTTCTTCTGTGCACTCTTGCACTGATTCTTGTAGTGCCCGATTTTTCCGCACTTCCAACACCCGATAGCATTCGAACTGTTGGGATTCCTGGATTTGGATCTCCCGTCATCTGATCCATTTCCTCTGGTTGAATTTCTACCTCTTGACTCTGTATGCAATACTAAAGAGGTTGTAGCTTCACCCGACTCTCTCCGTCGGATCTCCTCACTGAGAACCAGATCACGAACGTCATCGAACTTCAACTTGTTGCTTCCCGACGAGCTACTCGCAGCTGTGACTGTAGCGTTCCAACTCTCTGGTAGGGAAGACAAAAGGATCAACGCTCGAACTTCCTCATCAAACTCAATATCAACTGAACTCAATTGGGTCGTGACTGTATTGAGTTCACTGAGATGATGTGCTACCGATGCACCTTCCGCCATTCGTAGATTGAACAACCGCCTCATCAAATGGACTTTATTTGAGGCTGATGGCTTCTCATACATATTTGAAAGTGCTGCTATAAGACCTGTTGTGGTCTTCTCTTTCGCTATGTTGAACGTAACATTGTGAGTTAATGTCAATCTGATAACTCCAAGGGTTTT